TGCACTGATCATTACAATCCAGGACATCTTGTTGAACATAAATGGGAAAATTGTTTTACTGTATGTCATTTGCTTTTGACAGTAATTTAAGTCTAATCTAATTTTGTTTCGACAGATCGACAAACATTCGTGGGGTTATATTCGCACATCGGGTGCCAATGATTATCTTACTATTCAAGAGATTCTTAATCAAATTATCACTACTGTCAGGTTGTTATACTATTTAGCATAGAATATGTGTTATATGTTTTTATGTTTAGTACTGGAGGTAATATATTGATTAATGTTGGTCCAACATCATATGGAAAAATTGCACCAATATTTGAAGAACGTCTTCGACAAATGGGTTCATGGTTGAAAGTAAATGGTGAAGCTATTTATAGTAGTATTCCATGGAAATATCAAAATGATACAATTAACAGCAATGTTTGGTAAGTTTTTCTATTGAAAGAAACATTTGAAGATTTTCAGTTTTTGTTTTACTTAATAGGTATACATCATCGAAAGATAAACAATATGTTTATGCAAGTCTTCTTGTTTGGCCTAACGATACCGCTGAAATTACACTAGGTGCACCAGTTAGTTCAGGAAGTACACGTGTAACACTTCTTGGTTCAGATGTTGGTCCATTAAAATGGCGTTCAGCTGGTGCAAGTGGTGGTATCATTATTGATGTGTCTAATATAAAAATCTATTCACTTGCCAGTGATTGGGCATGGGTATTCAAATTAGAAAATATAACTCCAAAACGAATACATATGAAACTAGAAAAACATAAATTACAATGATAGACTTTTTATTCTTCATTTTTAATTTCTAATAATTTTTTATAATATTATTTTGAATAGCGTTATATTAATCCTAAATACTTTAGTTCATTCGAAAAATGTACATTTGTTATTATTTATTGATGATTAAAAGTTTTTTAATTTTCATATTATTCAGATAGTGATATTATCGATATTCAAATAAGATTTAATGATAGTAAAATAAGAACCTGATTGGAAGAGTTTTTACGTTTTCTCAAGAAAATTCAAGTCTCCCGAGAAATCGATTTTGCACCAGATGCTTTCAAACTGCATAACATGGTCAAAATAGATTGGTCCTATAGCGGAGAGACTATGCTAAAATTTTCAGCTGTATAAAATGACATTTTCGAAAGATATTCAACAAACAGGGATCGAAAAAATAGCTCATATATTAACTTCGAAGTTCTCTTTGTGCTCTTATATTCAAGTTTTCACGGTTTGTTTATTTAAATGGACATGCCAGACTATAGTGCCTTTTTTCCAATACTCTTATTTTATATGCGAAGAAAAAGAATGACAAGTTCAATATCTTGACAAGCTCTTTAAAAATGGTCATCTATTTGTAGAAATAGTTTTTCTATAGAATAATAAAAAAGAAATATTTATTCAATTTATCCAAAATAAATCAATATAAGTATTCAAAAATGAGAACTATTCTAGAGAATTGATTTTTTTTTTCATTCTTTGAATGATATAAACCAAAAGAATAAGTCTTTCATTATAATTCATGTTAGATCAATTTTTGATTGTAATATTAATTTTTTGTTAGACATTGATATAATAAAAATGTGTGAGAAATATTACTTAAATAAAAAAAAAAAAAAGGAACAAATAGAAAACAAAAGGGTTATCCAGATTTACTTTGAAACGAAAAGAAGACGTCAAAAAACTAAAACTTAATAAGAAAGAACAAAAAAAAAGTTTTAAAATATTTCTGAGATCGATTTCATAAATGTCGTTTGTCTTGATGGTAAGGCAAATCGATTATTTGTTTCATTATCAAATGTTGTTAGTGTTACATTAGTTCCAAATGATGATGATGTTTGCTGACGTGGCATTATTGGTGGAAGAATAAGACGACTTTTAGATGGTGCACTTTTTGTTGATGGTAATTCATCTTTATTTATTAGTATTAAATCTTCAATGGCTGGTTGTTTTGATGAAGAATAATGATGATTTTGAGTTGATATCGTATCATCAATATCCTAGATGAATTAATTAAAATAATTATTAATTTTTTAAAATTTAATTTAATACTTGAGTACAAAGTAAAGCATATGGTGTTACACAAACACCACCTTTAACCAGATGACGTCCATCAATGTCGCTAAAACGATGACGTCGTTCTCGTCGTGTTATTTTTTTTTGCGTTAAACCTTGTTCAACTGATATGCCAAGTCCAGTGCTTTCACGCTAAATAATTTGAATTCATACTTAAAAAATTTGTAATAAAAATAAATCTATTCTTACCCATAATAATGATGAACTTTCGAATGCAGTCGAAGCTGATTTAAATATTAGACTATACTATAGAAATAAATCTATATATGCTTTATTAAATATATTAATTTGTAAACATACATCATTGAGATTGGCAATAGATAATGATTCTTGGTTTTCTTGCTCTTCATTATTAACAAATGTAACTTCATCTGTTACTAAATGATCTGTTTTTTCATCTATTATTGATTTTTCTTCTATGAAAAATAGAAAAAACAAAGAATATTTTATTTATTATATTTACATTACAGTACAAACCATTATCGTTATAATCAGTTTTTTTCGCAGTTTTTACTCTTGTTTGTTCTCGATTCGTTTGTATTCTTGACGTAAGAAATAAATCAATATCCCACGGATGTCTTTGTCCAAATATTCCAATTTGTTCTCCATTAATTGTCCATAAACGTGTTGTATGATCTGTTGAACCAGTTAAAATAAAATCTCCTTGTCCTTTATGATCTGTCCATTCACAAAAAATAATTGGTGATAAATGTGCTTGCCATGAATATACAAGTGGTGGTGGTGTTGAATCAAATTGAATAGGTAATGTTGTTGAACAACAATAATTTTCAATATTCCATATACGAATTTCCCCAAGTGTATCACCACAAATTAAATAATTATTAGTTGCATCAGTACACATAGCTAAAATAGATTCACCTGGTTTTGATGAACCATGAAACATTCCCATATCTTTACGTTCACCATAAAGTGACCAACAATATATTTTTCCAGCTTCACTTGATAATAAGACACCTATTCATACATAAATGATTTTTTAATAAACAGGAGAAATTCTTTCTTTTTCTCAAACGAGGAAAGTCCGCTAATTTACAAATTGTTTTTAACTCGAGACTTAGTGTATTATGTAGATGCAAATGAACTATAAATACTCTTGGCCTAATTCTGCAGTATTATTGTATTTTTACGATAGTTTTAAAGAAATACAATGGTCCCTCTCACGACTACAAAAAAAAACTGATTTTCGAATTTCGACTTGAAACTTTGCAGAAAGATAAGTCTTAGTGAGAATAGTTTTTTTTTTATGGATGTTTCAGCTCTAGTTGCTGTTTCTATCCTAAAATAAAATTATGGTAATAGCGTATCTTTTATATTTCTCATATAAAGCGACAGATTTGATGTTCTTATTCCAGAATAGAAGCTAAACAATAGACCAAAAATAACTCTTGTTGGGGCCTGTCGCTATGCAAAGTTACATGTTGAAATTCGAAAATCTGATTTTCTGAAGTTTTTCACGAAGAACACAGCATTCATTAAAAAGAAACTATTAACGTATTCTTCCTCCGATATAAAAATGTGAAACACGATGAACCTGCTGGTATTCTATAAGAGCGATTAATCCATATATATATTTCGACTTATGAATAATGCATGCCGATAATAAAGGATATTAATAGCAATGTATTGCAGTGAATATGAAAGAAAAGTAAAAAAATGACTATCAAATTAATCTTGCAATGGACATTGATTTCACGATTATGTCTGTGACAGAGGAGAGAGGGATTCAAATTTTCACTTCTATACTTCAACTATGCTCATAGTTCATTTGAGTCTACAGGATGTACACAATCTCGACTTACAGATGTTTTCTCAGTTAATAAGCTTCTCTCATTACAAAATACTTACCAAATTTCATATTCTCTTTAGCTCGATATCGAAGAAAGAGAAGTTTATCAACTGGCACTGGAGTATTTCGTTTTGCACAACGTGCTGATGAGCGATGAGGATTCTTTGTGGAACGATGACTAAAAAGGTTAAACATAAGGTTGCAGAAAAAACTTTAACAACACATTAGTTTTGACTTTATTTTCTATAATGTTAAGTCACTAGCTCAAATTCAGATACTGATTTTAGTAGTCAATGGAGTTTTTTTTATATAATGCGTTCGATGCCAAGATTTCATAGATGCATTATGATGAGAAGGTTTCGAACACAATCAAAGATCGTTACATTTTCTATGATCTTCCTTTCAAAAGTGAAAAAAGCATTATAAAAAATGAAATTCATTAAGAAAAACTGTTGTTTCGATTATTATGATACTTTTAACTCTTTAAGAGAAAACCGTATACAATGCAGCGAATCTTCATCTTGTCCAGGATATCATGCTTTTTGAAATACCATTGTTAAAAAAAGTAGCTTCTCAGATTTGGAAACTATCATATCCGATTTTTTAGAAATTTTCCCATTTTAGTTTCATCAATGAAAATTATTATAGAAAACAAAATTCAACAATACATTATTATTCAATTTTTTTCATCACCTAAGAAATATTCAAATCATAACAAGATAGAAGTTTTCTTACACGCTTGTTTTTGGTGGTTTACGTAAACATATAATTAATTTTTCTGTATCAATACTCCATACATTAATTACACCATCATATGAAGCTGTACACATTATATTATTTGTTGGTAATAAATTTTCTATACATAATATATCATCACGATGTATTTGTGAACCACGCCATGATAGATCAGCTTTAGGTAAAACAAGCTAAATAAAGTAAAACAGAATTCACTTTAGTTTATTTAGAATATCAAAAAAAAAAAAAGAAAATGTTTGTTATTGTTAGTTTTAAAATAAAGATTAATTCATTCATTGGTTAAATCATTCCGTATTCGAATGTTATTGCATTCGAATTTTGTCTTTTACTTTCATTCTATAAATACCTCAACTGCATTTTTCTGATCATCAATTCTATCCTAAAATATTATTCATATCTACAAAAATCAGTTAAATAGAAAAAAAACAAATGATTACTTCAGATATAATATCAGGATATTTAACTATTTTTCTTGACCATCCAACTGTAATAAGACTTTTATCTGTAAAAAGTATTCCAGTAATTTCTGCATCTTCAGCACTTGGTAATACATGAAGATTTAAACCATTCGCACTATTCCAAATCTTAGAAAAGAAAACTTAAAATAACAAAAAAAAAAAAATCAACTATGAAATCATACTTTAATAACTCCATTTCGAGCTCCTGTTGCAATTTTACGACATGATCGATCAAGAGAAATACATGTAATTTCTTCTCCATCATGTGCATCAAGGATAAAATAAACTTTACGACCTGATTCAATATCCCATGCACCCATACTTGAATTATCTGCACATGTTATTAACTTTAATCCGAAAACAAAAATAATTGTCAAAATGCAAAAAAAAAGTAACAAAGACAACGAAACATTTACTTGTTTAAGTTTAGGATTATATATAGCACAACTAATTGGTGCAGAATGTGTTTCAGTAAAACTTCCTTCTCTAGCAGCATCTTTTCCTAATTTCATAAAACATATATAATCATTACATGCTACAACCAAACCACCGGGTAAACTTGTTTCAACATTGTTTGTTGATGTATTTAAATATAAATCAGTTGGAAATGGTCCAAAACTTGGTGTTTTACCACCTAGTGTACTCGGAAATCGTATTGGAATTGTTTGAAGACAAGT